GTGACGTCATCGTGACGTCATCATGATCTCATTGTTAACTTTATGAATCTAATCTTGAAAGTTACAGCTATTAGGTATTTTATCTCCAAAGCTCATTTTGACTCAACCAAACATTGGGTTGTCTTTTGTAGTAACACTGCAAGGAAGAACAATTTAAAAACTTCTAGAGACGCACGTACAGTACTAGACAGATTTAAATCGCGGACGTCAAAGACGACGTGAAAATGGCGTGTTGTACCCATGTGTGGATATGCCACGCCATTTTGATGCCATTTTCACGTCGTCTTTGATGTCCGCGTCCTCGATCTAAATCTGTCTACTGTCGATATTGGCGCAATGATTCCAACGTTTTATTTTCTTACCAGGCAATAAGCGAAGTTCGTAATAATTTGGAGTTTACGTGTTCTTTGATCCCGGCAGCCACATCAACTCCATCTAACATTCGAAAAAGGTAACTTTCACATTAAGTTCAATAAATCATCCATGACTTGTATTTCCATCGCCACTTCATTTATTGACCACGAGTTTCATCACAGATATGGCACATGTACATACTACTCTGTTACCAAAATAACCCCCAACAACGGGTATAACCAATGAGATCACTGTTTAATATCTGCAACATTTAGGTGTCTGGTTATAGTTTCACCTCAGTCCTATGTGAGAAGAGTGCTTCCAGTTTGACTCTTTATACGGACACTACAGGCTTTCATCGCTTTCCTAGTCCTGTAGTAACGCTCCCCTAGGAAGATTATTCGTTCTTATGTTTCAAGTTCTTAAAATTCGTAACTTTTTCTTTCACTTTGAAGTGTTGCAGGAAATAAATCCAAAGATGGCGTCTTGTTGACCTTAGATGCTATTAAAGCTAGCATCAGGTTTAGAAAATCTATAGCCGATGGATGGCTGAAGGTACAAGTTTCTCCTGAACACAATTTGATTGAAGCTCGAGCGCTTTGAAATTCTTCAACAACCATGAATTAACACTTACAGTTATTGATTGAATATCGTATATATAACTTATAAAGCCCTGGGCAAACTAGGAAACATTGTTGCGGAAACATTGTTGCGGAAACATTTGCGATTCGTGATGTTTCCTCAAATGTTTCCCTGTTTGCCCACCCGTGGAAACGTTGTTGCGGAAACAAATTTGCTTCCCGAGAAGCAAAAACATTTCCTAGCAAATTCAGAAACATTTGATGTTTCCCTATGTTTCTCACTAATGTTTCCTATAGTGTTTGCCCACTCTGGGCATTCCGCAACAATGTTTCCTAGTTTGTCCAGGGCTTAAGTCACGATTCAACATGGAGTATTTTGTGTTTTACAGAGCCTGGATAATGTTAAGAATTCGTCAGAACATTTGGTGATAGATGTTTTCGCAGTTCTTATACTATATGCTGTGACGAGCAAGAGAAAACCCGTTGAAAGTTTACTGCGAAACAAAATACGCAGCGGCTGTTTTACTGAAGATGTTCTGAGCATGGCATTTAAATCTTATGGACAGGTTTGGTGAAGTTGCTTTTTGTCTTTCTTTGCGGTAAAGGTTGAGATTTAAAGTCCTGGTTAAACTAAAACTCTCATCAAAATTTGTGATGAGAGTTGATGAGAGTTGGCGGTCAAATGAGAGCTAGATTTGCTAATATAGGTCTCTAACGTAATTGGCTCACGCTATGGTAGTGTTTCTGAGCCGTTTTCTTATTTATTTTGCTTGTTTATGTTCGTGTTAACGGTCGAAGTTTAATAAAGAAATAAATGAAAACTTTCTGGTAAGTTGATGGGTAACTCGCCATATTTTTATGTTGATAGGTTCTACGTGAATATTTTGAGAATCTTCTGGTTATTTCTGAAGTTCTACTGCGATCACCGGATTCCGTTGTTTCTTCTTACGCCAAGAAAATATACGTACAGGCTTTTCTCACTTTTGATCTGTACTGCAAACAGGTAAACAATGAACCTGCAGGTTAGAGGGGGGTGCTTAATGAATTCTTCCTTTATACAAGAGGCGTTCATCGAGGTGGGTGGGGCTTGTTTGAGCGAGACATGGATAGGGGTAATTGGAGTATCGTGTATCACTGGAATTAGTTTCAAAATGTTTGTTGGAAATAGTGTGGATATGCTGTGGATTTCTTGATGCAAATATTTTTTTCATACTGTTGTATTGATTTTACTTTTTCGGGTAAAGACCTACCTAAAATGATCATGTTTTGTGATTGACTTTCAGAAACAAATTAGAAACAAAAATGATCATTATTCGTGACTTGTTCTTTAGAAAGACGATTTCTATAGTTTTATTGTTTTTCATTGTTATAATCAACCAACGACGAGGCTGGATAGTATAGGTAGATGATGGATGACCCACTTTTTCCAGTGTGTCCAGACCTCAGTATTTTATTAATATTTTTTTCTTCAGGAAGTGGTTGGTGCGTTGGTTACTCATGTTGGAAGTGGTTTTCCAAACGAGGCAGATTCATCTCTCGATGTTTTGAGTGATTTAGTTGAACATCATCCTTCTCATATGTCCTCGTTTGCAATTTTTCTCAAGGCAAGAGTAAAGAACATTTTACCTCAGTTGCATGTGGGAGTAGTGTTTTCACCTTGACTGGGCCAAACACCACGGTCGTATGTACACATTCACAATAGGAAATATAACACAGAAAAAGTGCATGTACTGATAAAGTTCTAGGCTTACGGATCGCTTTGCCAAATTAATGTAAATGACTTACTAAATTAGCCATTCCAAAGTTGATGAGTGCAGGCCGAGTGTTAAAAAGTGCCAAAATTAAGAAATGAACTAAATCACTAAAAAGACCACCTCAAAATTAGTAAGTATACAAAGTTTGAAGACGTTTATATAAATACCCTTCGAATAATAAGCTTTTTAAAATTGTGAAATTACTGATCAAAATTCATGGTAAATATCGCGATTTTCGAAAGATTATTATTTGAAGGGTATTCATGTAACCGTCTTTAAACTTTGTATACTTACTAATTTTGAGGCGGTCTTTTCAGTGATTTGGTTCATTTTTTAATTTGGACACTCGTTTTCGACACTTTCAAACACTCGTCCCCAGTCCACTCATCAACTTCGGAATGGCTAATTAAGATTTCTGAACTACTGTAAGTCGTGTTCTTATATTTGTTCTTAGGGCATATTGGATTATTTGGATAACTTGAGTGTTGGCCAAATCCGAAAGTTGTTTGTGATGTTGAGTACCTTGGCGTTTCATAACAATGATGGCAGCATGATACAGGTATGATAAGCAACAATTTAAGGTATTCTTGTTATACAAAACTTAGGAAATAGAAATTGATTTTTAGATTAAAATGACTTAGTTAATTAATTAATTAATTAATTTGACTAATAATCTATTTAATTAATTAATTGATCTAATCAATCAATCAATTATTTCAATTAATTAATTGTTTGAATGATAAATGAAACTTCAATTTGTGAAGAAAACACATACATTAAAAATGGTATAAAACCTTAAATGACATGAATACTGTACTTAGGTTAAAATTGCCATGTGATGTAGCTGTAAGGTTAAAATCGTTTAAAAATATATAAAAAACATGCAAAAATTTTTTAACTCACTACATGAAGTAACAGTTCTATTTTCATACGGGAAACTACGTATAATATCTGACTATATCAGAATTTGATAATGCTAACTGAAATGCACGTCTTTATATCATTCAAGTGTCTGCATGCACAAATAACGCAAGGTCGCATTATATGACCCCAACAATGTCGAATTACAAGTAGGTGCAAGCATAGAAAGACCTCAAGGTCGTCCCGCAATGAACCACAAACTCCTCGCAGCTGGTTTTGCCTCAAATTGGAAGCCATGCTTTAGACATTCATCGTGTCCAAACTCGCGACGCGTGGCTGTGAAACAACGATGACGATGTCCTCGTCACTCTGAAACATGATTTCAACATGTTCATCAGATCCTATCTCAATCAGTACATATTTACCATGTTTAACTGTCTCTTGATATAGTACTTGGGATTCAGCTCCGATCCCAGTGCATTTCTTTATTTCGTCCTTTAAACTCGATAAGTTTAAGGTATCGTCTTTGATCAAACCTCGTTTCAAGGGCTCGTTGTCTATCTTTATCAAAAAATTCTTCGATTCACAATGGCTAGTGTCTGTGGAGAGCTCGTTTTGTGCTGATGTATTTTCTGAAACATTGATAACAACTTTTTTTCCTGTTTTCTCAGCACTGGCAAACATGCTCTCAACTTGTTGATCAGACGTTATGTCGATGTGTTCACTTTTGTCATTTACAGTTGTCTTTTGACGTAGTACTTGAGACTCGGCTTTGACGTTCAAAAGATTCTCTATTCCTGCTTGTAAACCAGATAAGGTATCGTCTGCCGTTGTGCATCGTTTCAACTTCTCGCCTTGTTTTTCTACAAAAAAGTCCTTCGCTTTACTCTTCGAGTCAGAAACAATGATAACGACGTCCTTCCCTCTTTTATCGGCACTGTGAAACATATCGTGAACGTGTTTGTCAGATGTGATTTCAATTCGTTCTGCGCCGACTATAGTTGTTTGTTGACATAGTATTTGAGAGTTTGCTTCGATGTCAGTTTCCCTCCCTATTCTTGCTTTTAAACTAGATAAATTTTGCGGGAAATCGTCTTCCATCGTGCATCGTTTCGAGGTCCCGTCGCCGACTTTCTTGATAAAAAATCTCTTCTTTTTAGGTTCAACAAGTGTCTGGGATTCAACAAGTTCATGGGATGTAGCAAATTTCCCGGCAATTTCCAAAGCTTTTTCAGCGGTCGGGCGTTTTTCTCGCTCTTTCGTAAGCAACTGAATCAGGCTGACTAAGTGCTTGTCGTCTTGATGGCACAAATCTTCAGAACGACGTTTCCCACCTCTAAATGCCTCAATCTCGTTTTTCCATTGCTTTTTATCTTCAAGGTAACGGCTGAGAAAATACAGCACGATTCCTGCGCTGTATAAATCTACTTTGTAATCATAATCTTGAGTATCCAATTCAGGCGCCCTGAATAATTCACACCCTACATGAGGAGATAGATCTTCCAGTTTTGAGAAATCAGTGAGTGACTGAGATGTATTGATAATTCCCCTGGCGCGACCAAAATCAGCGATCTTTACAATTATGCCACTGATTTCTCGTGGATTTGGATTTGCTATAAGAATATTTTTGAGGTGGAGATCGCGATGTACCCAGCTTATTTTCTCGTGGATGAAACGTAGACCTTCCAAAATCTGTGGGAAAACGTGTTGATAAAATCGTGGCGGACCTTGAGCTTTGATAATTTCAGCACCACCCATCTCATTCTCGTAGACGAACACGAACAAGTTGGCTCGGCAGAGCTCCATTTGAATACACAGATATTGAATTTCATCGATCCGGATAGTATTCCAATATTGATAATATTTGACAATATTCTGATGCGTAGAATCTTTATTGTCTTGGACAGCGCCAACTTCTCTTTGCAAATATTTAGCCTTTTCATCATTTTTAAGAGGAAGAATCTTAATGGCGTATACATCTTCCTTATTTTCACCAGAGTTTTCACTTAGTTTCTTGGCTTTAACAACTCGAGCGTCACTTCCTTCGCCAACAATCGTTTCATATTGAAAACCTCTACTTTCTAAATCGCGTTTGATCTTCTCAAGCGGAAAGTTCGTTTCCTGCGCCATTTGTTGTTCGTTCTTGATATCAAATCTTCGCAGAAAAGTAGAATTAAGTCTAAATATATGAGGGAATAACCTGCAATATTTTTACGATTTTTTTCAACCCACACACTTAGATTGCAATCTCGTGATTTTCGCATAAATAATGAAAGTTCGAAGACAATGGTTTTAACCTTCACTGACTTTCCGGTTTTTGTGATCGAGTGCTTCCCAAGGTCACTAGCAGTCTGTCAAGTCAGTCAAATCTTTATTTAAGCACGGTAGCTTCATCAGGTTTACAAAAAATAATTATCTACATTGATATATATAAGTTTAAATGCCGTGTCTATCGAATATGATGTTTCAACAATTGTCGAAATTCAGTCGAGAGATTCCGCTTGTCTTATATTGCTAGTTAAGCTGTTCCATAACACTGCACCACTATAGCTAAAGCTATTTTTAAGATAATTGGTGCGGGGTAAAGGAGTAGCAAGTTTGTTTACGAAGTCTCGAAGTATATAAGGAGTTACACTATTACGATTAGTAAATTTAGAACATAGATATTCGGGTGCAAGGTTATTTAAAGATTTGAAAACCATCAACGCTTTTTGAAATTGGCGTTGTTGGTTTAGATCATCCGGCCACCCTAGCTTTTCCAATAAGCTATTGGCAACGGCGTCAAAGTTGGAAAAGGTCAACACCCGCATTGTACAGTTTTGAAGTTTTTGAAGTTTGTTAGATAAAGTTTTACCACAATTTCCCCACACGACATTACAATAATCAAAATGTGGTTGTCTTAGAGCTTGGTAAGGTCCCAGTCAAGAAGTGTTAATTAATTAATTAATTGAATAACTAATACATGTGGCAGACACTGTGTAAACAAAGCGATAGCATTAGTTTACAATCATGAAAGCATTAATAGGCTATCAATTAAGCAAATTTTCATGAAATTTTACTTTGACCATAGTTAATATATTAACTATGCTTTGACTGACCATCTAATTATCTTGTGTATATTACGGGTAATCTTCATTCGCATATTTCAAAATGATATGCTAATAATAATTATATTTGTGTGTAGTAAGGCAAGAAAGTGATTTGCAGTAACAGAAGGTGGTCATATTGTGGCAACCCATGTCCCATCCACGACAGCGAGGAGATAGAATTCTCGTTCATGTTTTTAATGGACAGAAAAATTGTTACAAAATTGTTAAGATTATAGTAAAGAGATTATATGAAGCTTTATATTATGGATGCATTTCGTCTTGGACAGTTTCATTACAATATTAAGTTAGGATACTGAATTGTATCATGCAGACTCCATGCTTACGTTTTCAGAACTAATCTGTCCAGTTTCAATGTTACTATCTTCTTCTGCCTTCTCAGTCACAACTAACACAACATCTTTCGCTTTTTGTGTTGCGTTCTCAAAAATATATTTCACGACTTTATCATCTTCTATTATGATACCCCTCTTTTCGTCATTAAGCATACGCTCTTGTACAAGAATTTGTCTGCTTGCTCTGACGCGGATGCGACGTTCAACTTCAGCTGTCAATGCGGTGAACGTGAATTTGTTTGAAAAGCACATACGTAAATATTCTTCGTTACGTTTTCTTGCAAAGAATACGGTCTCCGATGCCTCGCTGGAATCAGTTGAATATTTCTCTTGTGAGGTAGACATGGATTCGTCAGCGTCCGTCGAATATTTTTCCTGTAAAGTAGGCATGGATTCGTCAGCGTCCGTTGGGACACAGAATAAAGACATACAGAAGTGTAACTTCCATTACAAAACCGTAAGGCCTTTTTTACCGAAATAGCTGGCGGCCATGTTCTGAGCAAGTGCCCTAAAGAGAGGCATTCACCCCCCTGGAATATTAAATTTTCAACATGTTTTCAGGGGGGTGACTGCCTCTCTTTAGGGCACTTGCTAAGAACATGGCGGACTGAAAAAATCCCTTACGCACTTTTAATAAGAAGATACACTTCTGTATGTCTTTATTCTGTGGTTGGGATCTTTGGTGATGAGGTAGACATGGATTCGTTAGGGTTGGCATCAGTAGAATCCTTCGCTTCTGTAGACAACATATAGTCCATAGCACGCTGAGCACTAAAGCGTAGTTTTGGATTCTTTTGAACTAAATTTTTTATTAGAATGCCCAATTTTTTGTCATCCTTATGATATATGCATTCATTTATGTCAAGTTTGCCTCGTTTTAGTTTCTCAATGTCTAATTTTAATTTTGAATGCTCTTGAACGGGGTAACAGCTAATGGAATACAACACTACTCCCGCACTGTAGACATCTACTTTTGAATCGTATGTATCTTCCTTGAGCTCGGGCGCCGTGTGTATACCATTCCATGAAAAAGGTGTTAGTTTTTCAACCTCAGGCTCGACTGTCCCGTCAGGTAAAGTATCAATTTTTATCTTCACGGCCGTAGACCTAGCAAGTCCCAAATCGCCGATCTTGACATGGATATCACTGATTTGATGTGGGTTTGGATTTGCGATAAGGATATTACCGGGATGAATGTCGCGATGTATCCATTGCATTTTGTGGATAGCAACCAGGCCGTTCAAAATTTGTCGAAATACCTGCTGATAAAATCGTGGCGGGCCTGGAGATTGGACAATTTTAGGGCCACCCATTTCATTCTTATTCACGAAAGTTTTTAAGTTTACCAAACACAATTCCATTTGAATGCACAGTTTTAGTTCGTAACCAACTTGCATTACCCAGCTTCCGAAATATTTGATAACATTTGAATTATTAAGCCGAAACAGGGATTCTATTTCTCGATTCTGACATTCCTTACTTTTCTTATCATATTCATCATACTTCATGATCTTTATGGCAAATGTTTTGCCGTTATCCTCGCCTTCCTTTGTACACTTCGCTCTGACGACCATACCAAAGTTACCTTCACCAAGAATATGTTCAGTATCAAACTCCCGTTGACCTCTCAAAGCCTCTCGGATTTTGACATGCTCGTTTACTTTGTCCATGTTTTTACTAAAGAAATGTGCTGGATATGATGTATGAACGGAACCAAGCGTTAGTCTGTCTACGTGTTGTCTTCTGACTAGTACATGGGGCATGTCCGTTATTAATTATTCCACGAAAACACCCGGTTCTTAATTCTTTGAATCTACGGGTGCACCTGATATGCTGAGTAATTGATAAGCAGCCAGATACTGTTCATGTATAATTTATAAAATTGGTTATAAAGTAGGTGTGTTGATCATGTTTGACTTTTTTATTGATCGGAAAGATCTTTACAGTCTGGCATCGTTAAACCGATGTATGGTTTCAAAAGCCTTGCGCACAAAGTTCCAAAGCCATATTCACTTGTTGGTTTTTACAATCATTCATGCATGCTAACCCATGCTGGGCTTTTCACAAAACGGCCAGCGTATCTTCGATCATTTTAATTTAAGATCATTATGACGAACTCATAATACAATATATATTTTCGCTTCTCGTGTATTTGAAGTAAATACAATGTTTTCAATTCAGGATGGTTATCATATGG